TATGATTTTTATGTATTGTGAAAATGATTTGGTAAATTATTTTGCTTTAGTTTACACCAATTTTCAAAGTGTGTTGAAAGCAATAAATTCTAGAAAATGTGTTGTTAAAAAAGTAATTGAAGTCATAAATAAAATGTAGAATTTGTAGAAAACCATAACCTCAAAATTAATTGAGTTAAAGATCACACAAATCAAGAGTTTTGGGAAATGAAGCTGCAAATAATACTGCAAAGGAATCAACTAAGAACGATAATATAGATATTTTCTCCACCGTCTCAATAGAATACATGTAAACATCATTGCAAAAAGAAATAATGAAAAAATGCCAAGACCGATGGGACAATGATAACAGTGGAAGAAAAGTCTTTCGGATTTTTCTAAAGTTAAAACAACAAGACTCTCTACTGATGAAAGAATTAATGAAGCACTGACACATCATGGACAATGTCCAGAATATTTAAAGAGATTTCACAGAAAGAAAGTCAAATGTAAATGTGATTGTAAAGCACAAAATGTAAATTGTAAAGCACAAACTCTGTACACTATTTGTGTGAATGCATACAGATAATCTCTAAGAATATTTTTTAAATATTTCAAGAGAAAATATAATGCATTTATTTACGAAAGAAAATCCAGGTTGGGAATTATGAAAATTGTAAATAATCTAATCAGATATAACTATTTCGAACTAGTTTGATTATGCAGTAAATTTCTATAATTGTAACTAAGTTGAATTGTATACTTGTGATTATTTATGTAATTTAACTAGAAAGATTATGTAATAAGCAATAATATATTACACAATTATGAATTTATGTTCAAAGTAATGTAAAATTGATTAATTTAAATGAATAAGTGATTCAGTGTTTTGCAAAGATGGAAAATCTCCATTCACAAAATTGTTAAAACAAAATATTTAGTTGTATCACATATTATTCTAGCTATTATGTTGAATTTATTCAGAATAAAGGTCTAGGAGACCCTGCTGGCGAGGTCAGCGAATCTTCCTCGGAGGACAAGTTAAGGGCGAGTTGCTCAGTATTTTAATTTGGTTAATTATTGTTATTTTATTTGTCTGGTTCTTTGACTGTTTCTTAGTTTTACCGGTTTGCCAGTATTGGCGCTACGGTTTGTAAGTTGAGTTTAGGTTTAGGTTATGTATCCAAAGCGGGTAACTATTTTTGACATATTTTATTCTTAAGGTAATAAAATAGGAAGGAAAATACTTGATCATAACGAAGCTAAGTTTAGAACATAATGATCAGATTTTCTAAACCACTTAATACTACTTTCATAAATAGCGCCCGTTTACACAGATTTTCAAAGTTTGCATCTTTTAAAGGTGAATTAACAGTTCTTCAACATTAACGTTTTGCATATTTTCAGTTTCAGTCAGAGCACGCCTGAATTTTATTTCTCTTTTACATGATAAGAAGAGAAATATGACATCACTCTGGCAACTACATGTTCAATAAAACACGCGGCAAGAGACCGAAAAAGAAATGAACGTAGATTAGCCACAGAGGTCTACGCTTAGCACGCAAGGCACGAAGGTCATTTCTTAGGATTTTCTACAATATTTTATCCAAGGTAGTACAAGTAGAACTGGACGACTAGTGTTAAAGAATAATCAGAACGAATTCTGGCTTTAGTAATAATTTAATTTTTCTAAAATTTATTTATGTTGATCGAATTTTGATAACTAAAGTTAAAAATAATCTGCTTTTAATATAAACAATACCTGAGGATTCAAAGAAAAAGTAGTGCAGTACAACATAGTAGGACCACCAGCGGCCAAGTGGTAAAGTCGCTGAACACTGGTAGTTTGGCTCGGATTCGAATCCCGGCGAACGGGCTGGCCACTTGTGCGTTTCCAAGCCTGATTGTCTGTTTGCGCCCAGATAATTTTTTTTTTTTCTTTTTTAGTTTTAAGATTAGAAATGGGCTACGCTATCGCTACTAGTTGCATGAATCTGAGTGTTCTAACTATTTTGATTAGCCTACCAAGCGGCCGAGCGGTAAAAGCTGCAGAACACTGGTTTTTCGGTCCGAGCCCCAGCGAACGGGGTGGCTGCATGGGCGTTTTCGTGATTTTTCTCATGTATAATGTGGATACGAACCAGTTTCCCTTAAAGTGTCCTCCACGGGGCATCCCTTCCTTTCCGTGTAGTGACTAAAGGCGGGAAAACGTAATAAATAATAATAATAATTTGGATTGGTATCACATTCTTTGTATTCATAAAATAAACAACACATTATTTACAGGTTAAGTTTGAAGAAGTAAGTTATTAGGAAAAATTATTATTTCTTGCTGGATCAACGCCAGGGTTTTCGGCGCCCACCTACGAATTCAGAATGTTTTATTTTCACTTTCTTTGAGACTTGCAAAAGATTTTAGAGGAAGGTAAAACAATAAAACTATATTGAAAAAGAACCTGTTACTTACATTTTTGTAGGATTTCTTTCAATATCTAATTCGACAAACATGTAATTTCCGTAAGATTTAGAGGCTATTTCTTGTGTGTGCATGTCATTGTCGTAGATATAATTTATTTTTAATATTAAATTTGGTTTCGAAAATGATCATTTTCCAGTTATAGCATCAATATGTAAGATTAAAAGTTATTTTAAACTAAATTATTAAGTTAGAAAATGTTAAATTGTTAGAGAAGTTAACAAGGACTACGCGTTTTCTAATTTATCTTTGCTGTAGCTCTTTAATCACATATCTCGTAGTACTTATGTATGTCTCTTTATGTTTAGTACTATATATGTCTCTTTATCTAGATCTTCCAGTATATTTTTATTTTTATCAATAATGCAAAAATTATCATTGCCAAAATTTTTTATTCAGAAATTTCAGCTTAAATATATCGAAAGGCGTATAAAATAGGCTGGTTTTGAATTTACCTATAGGGTTTGCGGAGATTGTTATGTCTGTAATGAAACTGCCATGTATTATGTTTTCGCCGAATTTCATTTGCGTCGAATTCTGGTTCTCCTTATATTACCTTTATTATTATTGCTTTCCCCCTCAATTTTCAGAAAAATCTATAATATGAATCTGTTCTCATAAAGCATTTTTACTCTTTAAATCAATTGCACAAAAATTTTAAATTTATATTTTATCTCAGAAGAGTTTGCTGATGATATTCACTATAAAAACGGGAAGTCATATTATCAGATAGAATATGCATTACAAATCTTCAACTGCAATAGGAAAATTTTGTTTTTCATGTTATATTTTAATTAAATTTTCCCTAATTTCATAAAATGCTTCATATATTTCTTCCAGGTGATATCGCGAGGCTCTAACTGAGTTTTACTTTCCTGTGAAATATAAAATGGTTATTTCAGTATTAAACTGGATGTAGATTCCAAAAGTCTTAGTATCATTTTAGGCTTCTTTTGCACAATTTTTTGCTAAATTTAAAAGCACGAATAGCACACATTAAAAAAAAAAAAATTTCCTAGAACTTGTATTTCTGTAGGAAATTTCTTTTTCTCCTTTGATATTCCCATGTATACACATGTATACTTGACACATGTATACTTGACACATGTATACTAGACACATGTATACTTGATTATTCATCACATTACATAAAATAACATGACATTTTGTTTTACAAACATTTCATGACTGCTTTATATAAACGATGATTTCTAGATTCATCTATTTGCAAAAATTCTAAACTTTTTCACTATTTTCAATTACTTCATAAACTCCTTCGAAACTGGAGACAGAAAATTTTTTAATAAATTTTATGAAGCCCTTAGAAATCGTATTTTTAAACTGTACTTTTGATAATCTTAAGTTATTTAGGAGTAATCATAATGGTCAATAAATTATGAAATAGTTTTTATATGAATTTAAAATAGAAATATGAGAAAACATGCTCTTGTAACGTTTGCTACATTGGAAGCTTCACTGAACTTTAAGTCAACTTTTGTTTTTAAGCAAATTATTGTTTTTAGATAATATGCACTTACGAAAACATACACTTTCTTCCAATCCTTTTAAGTTATGCACCAATGAAATTACCTGCACTTAAAAGATTCTTCATGAAGGAAGAAATCTAAGCACTTTCACTGCTAATACATAAGAAGCAACTGCTCAAATAAAACAGCGTTTGGAAGTTTAGAGTATTACGATATTCTCTTATGCATTAACAAGTATATCTTTCTTCTAATACTGAGAGGCATGAGAGTTTCGTGGTTTGCCCAATGTGTACCAATGATACGAGACAATTTCCCTTAAAAAGTCCTCCACGAAAGCATTTCTTCCCGCTGGAAGGTAGTGTATTTATATACGCACTCAAGCGATATAGAGGGTTTTCTTTCTGATTGATGAGCATATCAAACATTTATTAAATTTGCTTTCCCTCAGCTTTCCACTACTTCTAAACGCGGAACAAAAACTTAGTTATTACAGCTTGTTCCTCCATATGCAGCTTTAGAAATATACATTGAGTGCAAGAAAATGTAAGATAAAATGTCTTGAATAAAGATATCTTTCACTGTTTTAGTCTTATAAATATCATATTTTTAAATTCAGGAAAATGTAAAATTTTACATTGGCAGGTAGAAAAATTTACGTATATACTAATAATTAAACCATGAAATAAACATTAATACTTGTAATATATTTAAAACCTGTAATGATAAGAAATAAGTAAAAAAGAAACATTAGTATTTAAAAGTTGTCACTGTTACTGCCGTATATAACACTTAAAATGCTAGTGAAAAACACAGTCATGTGAGGAATAAAAATGCTTCACAGTCGTCGAAAAATATATTGCGATAAAAGCATACACTGCATACAAAATTACCTTTCAAGTTGATTTATGCAAAGTTTTATTACTACAATAATATCATTACATTTAGATCTTCTATTTTGATAAAACTTGACAATTTGTGTTATTATATCATTGATCGCACTAAAAGCATCTTTATTCCCACAAAATAGGAAAATTTATAAATATCGGAAAGGGACTGACCTATAAACTTCGGAACCATCAGAGGTTTTCCGCTGTCCAGTCATCAGTTTATGAACCGTTGTCAAAAGCCGACTTTATCGTCTGAGCCAGACGAAGAGATTGGGCTGAACTAATTTATTCCGCAAGATGGCAGCACTACGCCTTCTATTTGTATCTGGCCGGAAAAAAGCTGCTTCTCGTACATGTGCATATAATTCCTGAAACGAAGCGCAGTTTTCGGAAAAAAGGCTAATAAGTATGCGTGATCTAAGCTGGTAAGCACACAACCCTGTTACATGTTTCGTGCAAAAACTTACTAAGAATGATTTGCATAAGACACGTTGTATCTTGCTATTATTAACAGAAGTTTCATATTATGGCTATTTATTTATCATTTAGAACAAGGGTTCCAATTGGGCAGGTACTGACACCCTTGGTTCGATTAAATTTTTAAATTTTAAAAGGCGTCAATGATGATAAAGGAATCTATTTGGGGGTTGACAGCCGAATATGCACAGGCAATCGATCATCATAACCAAAATCCCGACATTTTATTAAAAAAAATTATAATTAATTTATTCGCTGCTTATCAGGTAGTAAAGAGGAATTCATGTAAAATAAATACAAGGGCTAAATGCACTAAGATTATTTATATATTTAATAAAATCGATATTATTTTTTAAATATAATAATTTTCCATGCAATATAAAAAAGAAAACGTAAATATCACAGAACTGTTGAACTGCGATATATCTGATCTTGAGATTACGATGCAAGAAGAGTTCATTGCATCGAAGGCGGATGTTCAAGTGCAAATCTTATTAAAAAAATGGATACATTAAGTGTTGGAATTTAAAAGTCATTCGCAAGAAATATACCAAAATAAAAAAAGTTACAGACCCAGCATTATTGACTTTTCTTACCAAATGGAAGTAGGCTCTTGTTAAGTCAATAATTTACTATTGAAAACAAGGCGCAGGTTGAAAATTACTGAATGAAGTAATTTAAGAATTAAGTTGGGCAATTTTATGCCAAATACATTTAAAAAATTGGAAAACTGAAACACCATGAAGGAAAGCAAATATAAAAAAGATATTTATTGTACGTAAACAGTATGGCATGAAGACAAAAGGATTAAACTTGTGAACAGGTTGGGGGTTTACATAAGTACGAAATTAGTAGAAACAACTGCCACCCCTGGCAGCTAAATGTCCCCTTGCCCGGTTAGGCATGGTGTCGAACTGGGCTTGGATGACAATGCTGCTTCAATTCTAAGCCACACTTCATCAACCGTATTAGCTGGAGAGGAGTAGCGGGCCAGTCTCTTAGCAACAAACGACCAGATGTTTCCAAGGTTGACAGATGCACACCAGGGCAGCAATAGAAAATTCAGTGTTTCGAAGAATGTCAGAACAAGAAGTGCAACATTTGGTCTTGCATTATCTTTCTGCAAAATAGCGTTTGGCAGGTCTCGAAGACAGGGCACAAGCACTCGGCCGAAGATGGCAGAAATGTACCGAATTGCGTTCAAATTACCGTCGATTTAAACTAGATAGGTGAGTGTCGTGTACCCAATGGCTGCCAAACCATCACACCAGGTGCAGGGCCCCTATGCCGATATCAAATACAAGCAGCTGACGTGTGATTTCCTCGGAGCCTCCAGACACGTATACGGCCATCAGAATACTGCACGCAAAACCGGGACTCGTCTGAAAAGACGACATTCTGCCACTCCTACATCCAGCTTTGTTATTCGGCGCACCAGAGTCACCGTTTCTCTCTATGCTGCGTTGTCAACGGAAGCCGAGGTAATGGTCGCCCTGCTGATAGTCTACGCTGCTGCAAATATCGACGCACCGTACAAGCGGATAATGGATATGCTGCAAGAAGCGTAGCTAGAGGGGGGCAAGGGGGCACCTGTCCCCGGGCGCAGAATCCAAAGGGCGCCAAACTGATGTTACGACATTTTAGAATTAAATGCTTTCCATCCCTGGAAAGCAGTAGGGGGCGCGAAATCTTCAGTTGTCCCTGGGCGCTGAAAACCCTAGTTACGACTCTGTATGCTGCAAACATTTCCTGGCTGATGGTACGTGATGTGGTTGTACGGTTTTGCAGGGCTGATTTCTATCGAATTCCGACACTTGCTGGTAAGCATTTCTTCTTATTCGAGGCATAACACGATATTCTGAGCAAACTCCGACCTCACAAATTGCTTTCCGAATGAGAAATCCACTACACAACTTTTCTTTTTATGCATAGCTTCAGATGTCGTTTCTCCCTCCTGCGTCGTCTAAACGCGCTCAAAGACTAATCATTTGCATATCCAAAACTCTTTTTCCTTTCATGTCATTTTGAAGTTCCTCATATCACTCCCTCCTGGTGTTGCAATTTTAATGGCCAGCAGTGTATTTATCAAATTAATAATAATAATACCAAAAATAGTGAAACAAGAATCTAATAAACCGTTTTTGAAGACATTTGTTCATATTTTAATCCTAATTATTACCTTTAAGTTATTTAAGCGCAATTATTTGCAGTATGATTATGTTGTATACTGTATATTATAGAGAAAGATGTAAGAAGGTCGATGAAGAAAATTGTTTTTTAAAAGGATTCGAAGCAAGTAAAAAGTTGGGAATTCCCTATTTAAAGCAATAAAAACATTCATCGACAAATTACAAGGTAACCAAAAATGTTCCTGACGTTTTGGACAGTCAGAAAGAAAAAGCCATAAAATAAATAATAATTACCGTTAATCCTCAAAGTAATTACCATCGGCATCCAGTCCCTTTTGCCAACGGGCAGCTAGCTGTGCAATGCCATCGCGGTAAAACTCAGGAGTCTTGGATCAAAGAAGACCGTGAAGTCCTTTTCGCGGTCTGGCCGGTTGTTGAAGAATTTTCCGTCCAGGGAATGGGAAAGGAAAATGGATGTTTCGAATATTAGCTGGGTTCAAAATGCACCTCACTTTACCTCAGCGCGCGTTACTTATGAAGTTGTTTTATCTTCATCAATTGAACGCAGCCGCCACTCTTTGTGAATTCAGAAGTCGTAACAAGCTACGTAATGGTTTTCTATCAATTAACGCACAGCAAGACATGATTCAGAAGTTTAAAAGAACAGGATCCTTAGCAGTTCGGTTTGATAAACGCGTTCACACTTAATACTCAACGGCTCTAGCGGAGCTAAACGGTGCATGAAACACGGATCTATCTAACCTAGCTAGTTCACACTTACTGGAATCGTCCACTAGCGATAGCCAATAAGCAAGCAGAAAATCGCGCGCGCTTTCATTTTCCTGCTTTGGAATAACCTAATGGACTCTACAAAGTACATTATTTTTCAAAAAAAAATAAAAATAAATAAATAAATAAATAAATAAATAAAAAAGATTTTGAAACACCCAAAAATAAAAAAAGTTTTTTCCGATGCTGGGTACGGAGAAACTGTAAAATGCATATGAAATAAGCACGAACCTTTGAGATAGGTATCAGTACGAAATGTGTCCACCGTGGAGTGTAATTCAACTTACCACACGTCGTGACATGCCTCGCACAACATTATCCACCAGCTGTTGAGGCAATTGATCCCATTCCTGTGTCAGTGCAAGGATGAGAGTGTTCTTGTTCGTTTGAGGATATTTTCGACTAGCAGGTGGCCTTCCCTGAGCACCCCAAACATTTCCAATGGAGTTTCGATCTGGAAAACATGTTGATCATACGACGCATTGAATATTCTCGAGGTCTAGATAGTCCTGAACAGCAAATGTCTGACGACATGGTGCGTTGTCGTCCAACAAAAGAAATTTGTTTCCTAAAGCACCACGGAAAAGCCAAACATGAGGCAGTGGAACTATATCAATATACCCTTGTCCGGTCATAGTCCCAGCTGCAACTACATGTAGGGGCATGTGTCCGTTTATAATATTGCCGGTCCATACCATGATAGTGTATCTCGGATATCAGTCCGTTTCCTAGATATCTTCTGGTCGATAAACAGTACCACTCCCACTCAGGTCATTTGGTACCTACAATTCGATGACGGACAGAAACTACTCTCCTCTGAGAATAGTTTGCAAACCCAGTCCTGTTCCGTCCAACTGGGATGTTCGCGACATCGTTGCAAACGAGCCGTGTGGTGCTATATAAACAATGAAAAGAGACACACAACAGGTCTGCTGGCGCATATTCTTCCTTATTACAAACATCTAGCTGCAGTTTTTCGGGAGATCCGCTGTGTCAGCAAGAAACTCATTCGCCACGTGCTGAGCTGTGGTACGTCGGTTTCTTTTTGCAGATAGAGCAATGTACCTGCCCCCTGCAGGCGTCTTACATCGAACACGATCTCCTCCTAATGCCGACAACCTGTTCCAGTTATTTTTAATGTTTTCACAGCCGTGAGACAATGCTGGGGACGATCGGCAATAGTTGTTATTTTTTACCCCTTTTCGATCTTTCCGATGATACGGCAAGCGTAAAATTATCTAAGTGATGCCGAGAAGACACACCGAAACTCTGCCGTAAAACTTGGCACAACAACAACCCGCACGGATCAAATCCTTTAAATCTTTTATCAGCGCCATCACTTTATGAACAGGCGAGTAAATTAAAATTTGTTTACGCACACCGCTTCTTAGTGTATCTTACGCTTATTCTAATTTTCCACAATTTGCAGTTGCTACGGGTGATAGTGTTGTCTGTCCTAAGCAAATGTCTAGTAGTGTAGAATGTATTAACGAAGATCACAGTCTCTGTTAGTGTCAAGAGTCTGCATCTGCTTACGAAGTGCACATTTTCTAAAAACCTCATAGACATCTATTATCGCAGTTTTATCAGTCATAGCATATTATAGTCGCAGCATAGCGTATGCATCATATTCTGTTTTTCCGTTTATACTGTGTGTCACCTAAATTAATTCATTATTGTTTTATTCAAAAGCTTTTCAGATATCAGTGTTTTGTGTTTGAATATATAACTTTAGCCAGCGATATGTGCAGAGGAAATAGTTTATCTGGATTCATCAATTCAAAAATTTGTAATTATGAAAGTATTATAGAGTACGTTGTTTAGAGCTTTTGCACTAGTTAAAGACCTCATGGGATTAGACATAAACCTGTATATAATAAATTTCAAGAGAAATGGA